TGTCTCCCCTTACTCTTCTGTTTTCCAGGGATGTGAAGTTCAGCTCCTTTAGCCTTTCCTCGTAGCTCAATCCTCTCAGTTCCGGGACGAGCCTGGTGGCATACCGCTGAATCTTCTCTAACTTTGTCTTGTGTTTAACTAGGTATGGACTCCAGGATTGGTCTTACATAAGTGGTATACAGGGTTCTGAAAGATTCTTTACACAAGTTTCTAAAGGCAGTTCTTATGTTGGCCAGTCTAGCATATGCCGCTGTGTGTGTGTGTGTGTGTGTGTGTGTGTGTGTGTGTGTGTGTGTGTGTGTGTGTGTGTGTGTGTGTGTACTTATCTAGTTGTACATATCTAATTGTGATTGTGGGGGTTGAGCCCTGGCTCTTTGGTCCCGCCTCTCAACTGTCAATCAACTAATGTACAGGCTCCTGAACCTACTGGGCTCTATCATGTCTACATTTGAAACTATGTATTGAGTTTGCATCCATCACATCGCATTTGCATTTTTTGTCTACTACTCTGAAGCTAAAAATGTCTTTCTAAAATCTCTATGGCTCATCTGGGTTCTCAGTTTCCACCTGGATCTCCTTGTGGGTGTTCCCCCTGTGTTAAATAAATTGTCTTTATGTACCTTCTATAAATTCCTCTGAGAATCTTGTCCCCCTAACTCTTCTTTCTTCCAGCGATAGGAGGTTTAGTTCCCGTAGTCCTCTCCTCGTATCTCACACCCCTCAGCTCGGGTACTAGTCTGGTATCAAACCTTTGAGCCTTTTCCTGTTTAGTCTTATGCTTGACATGATATGGACTCCATGCTGGAACTGCATACTCCAGGATTGGTCTGACACATGTGGTATACAAAGTTCGAAATGATTCCTTACACAAGTTTCTAAAGGCCGTTCTTATGTTGGCCAACTTGGTATATGCCGCTGATGTTATCCTCTTGATATGGGCTTCAAGGAACAGGTCTGGCGGGGTATCAACCCCCAGGTCTTTCTCTCTCTGTGACTCTTGAAGTATTTCCTTTCCCAAATGATACCTTGTATTTGACCTCCTGCTCCCTATACCTATCTTCATGACATTACATTTGCTTGGGTTAAACTCTAACAACCATTTGTTTGACCATTCCTTCAGTTTGTCCACGTCTTCCTGAAGCGTCAAGCAGTCCTCCTCTGTCTTAATCCTTCTCATAATATTGGCGTCGTCAGCAAACATTGAGAGGAATGAGTTTATACCCTCTGGGAGATTATTTATGCATATCAGAAACAGGATAAGTCCGAGTACAGAGCCCTGTGGGACTCCACTGGTGACTTCATGCCAATCTGAGGTCTCACTCCTCACTGTATCACTCTGTTTCCTATTGCTTAGGTACTCCCTTATCCACCGGAGCACCTTACCAGTAACTCCTGTCTGTCTCTCCAGCTTATGCACCAGCCTCTTATGGGATATTGTGTCAAAGGCTTTCCGACAGTCCAACAAAATGCAGTCCGCCCAGCCTTTTCTTTCTTGCCTAATCTTTGTCACTTGGCCGTAGAATTTTATTAAACCAGTAAGGCAAGATTTACCCTCCCTGAACCCATGTTGATGGGTTGTCACGAAGTCCCTTCTCTCCAGATGTGTTACTAGGTTTTTTCTCACGATCTTATCCATCACCTTGCATGGTATACAAGTTAAGGAAACTGGCCTGTAGTTCAGTGCCTCTTGTCTGTCACCCCTTTTGTATATTGGGACTACATTAGGCGTCTTCCATATTTCTGTTAGGTCTCCCGTCTCCAGTAACCTACTATACACTATGGAGAGTGACAAGAAATATGCCTCTGCACACTCTTTCAATACCCATGGTGAGATTCCGTCTGGGCTTCACAGACGGAACAGCCCTTCACGTCCAGATCCAACAGATGCCTCTTGACCTCATCTCTTGTAATTTCGAACCCTTCCAAGGCCGCTTGGTTTACTGCCACCTCTCCTAGTGCAGTGACCTCACCTCTTTCTGTTGTGAAGACCTCCTGGAACATTTTATTGAGTTCTTCACACTCCTCATTGTCATTCTCTGTATGCTTGACTATGCAAGAACGGCTTGACCCGTTCTAAGCTTCATCACCTGTTCTTGCACTGTGGTTTTCCTCCTGATATGACTTTGGAATAGCTTGGGTTCGGTCTTGTCTTTGTTTGCTATATCATTTTCATAATTTTCAAGGCTCGAGTATTGACTCTTGGATCCCGCCTTTGTTAGCTACAGGATGTTTATAGCAATGACTCCCGTCCGATTTCACTTATCATATCAAAATTTTAAAATTATGAATAGAGTTTGCTTCCACAACCTTCTTGTTAGGTTCATTCCATTTTTCCACTACTCTCACGCTACATTACATTGAGGTTACCTTGCGGTTACCTTGCGATGTTTCCAGGGCTTAGCATTCCAGCGGCCGGGTCCTCTACCAGGCCTCCTCATTGCTGGACTGGCCAACAAGGTTGTTGGACATGGCTGTTGGAGCCTGACGCATTAATCATAGCCTGGATGATCAGGTATCCTTTGAAGGTGTTTAGCAAGTTCTCTCTTGAACTCTGTAAGGGGTAGGCCAGTTGTGCCCCTGATATGTAGTGGAAGCGTGTTGAAAAGTCTAGGGCCTCTGATGTTGATAGAGTTCTCTCTCAGAGTAGCTATTGAACCTTTGCTTTTCAACGAGGATATTTTGCGCATCCTGCCATGCCTCCTCGTCTCATGTGGTGTTATTTCTGTGTGCAGGTTTGTGCTAAAAGAAAACTTACTAACATCTCTGTGACTCATCTGAGTTTACAGCTTCCACCCATGTCCCTTTGTTGTGTTATTATTCAGTGCTAACATTTCCTCTATTTCTACTCTGTTAATCCCTATGAGTATTTTATAAGTTCATATCATATCCCCCACTTCCTTTTTTTTCTAGTGTCGTCAGGTTCAGTTCCTTCTGGCGCTCTTCATACCCCATCCTTCGTAAATCTGGGACGAGTCTCATCGCAAACTTTTGAACCTTTTAAAGTTTCCATATGTGTTTCTTCGAGAGGGGTGGCTCCATGATGGGGCGGCATACTCTAAGACAGGCATCACGTAGGCAGTGTAAAGCGCCCTACATGCCTCCTTACTTAGGTTTCTGAATGATGTTCTAACTTTTGCCAGTGTAGAGTACGCTGCTGTCGTTATCCTGTTTATATGTGCCTAATCACCTCATGATTAGGTGTTACCTCAACTCCCAGGCTTCTTTCTTGAATCGTCAAAGGTAGGAAGTGTCCCTTCATTGGTCTCCTATCACTTAATCCCATTTCGATTATTTCACAATATTTGCTCCTGTTGAACTCCAGTAGCCATTTTTCTAACATCTCTGTAACCTGTTCAAGTCCTTTTAGAGGATCCTACAATCCTCATCTGTCACAACTCTTCTCATTAATTTTGCGTCATCCGTGAACATCGATATATAGGGCTCAATTCCTGTAAACATGTCATTTAGATATATTAGAAATAGGTCTTGTCCCAGCACCGATCCTTGAGGTACTCCACTTGTTACTATTCGCTAGTCCGACTTCTCGCCCCTTACCATTACTCTCGGGCTTCTTCCTGTTAGGTAGTTCCTTACCCATGTAAGGGTCTTTCTGCTTACTCCCCCTGCCTCTCAAGTTTTAATAGCAGTCTCCTGTGCGGTACTGTATTAAAGACTTTTTGGCAGTCCAGAAATATATGCAATTTGCCCATCCTTCCCTGTCCTGCATTATTATTGTTATTTTATCATAGAATTCCAGAAGGTTTATAGGTATGATTTCCCATCCCTGAACCCATGTTGGCATTTGTTTACAAACCTAATGTTCTCTAGGTATGCACTAAGTCTTAGCCTGATTATTCTTTCAAGTATTTTGCAGGGAATGCTTGTCAGTGATACAGGTCTGTAGTTAAATACCACCACCTTATCCTATTTCTTGAAAATTTGTACCACATTTGCCTTTTTCCAGCAACTGGGCAACTCTCCCTTCATAAGTGACTCATTAAAGATCCTTGCCAGAGGCATGCTGAGGGCCTGTGCTGCCTCTTTTAGTAACCACGCTGATAATTTGTCTGGTCAAACCGCATTATTTGCATCCAATGGTGGCAACTATTTCATTGCCTCCTCTACTATCATATTTATATCTGATAAAGTCTTTTTATCAGATATAAAGTCTTTATATCTATATAAATATTCTTGTAAAGTCTTAAAGTCGATATTTTTAAAGTCTTTTTTATCTATATAAATCTGATAAATATCTTTATTGTCTCTCATCTAAGGTCATCTCCTATAATAATGGGAACTGCTCAGGCTCGGTTGTGAACACTCCATGGAAACTTGCATTCAGTAGCTAGCAGATTTCCTTGTCATTTTCCTATATGCCCCTCCTGTTTTCCTTAATCTTGTCATTTGATCGTTCAACGACAGATACCTTCTTATATGAGAGAGAGAGAGAGAGAGAGGGAGAGAGAGAGAGAGAGAGAGAGAGAGAGAGAGAGAGAGAGAGAGAGAGAGAGAGAGAGAGAGAGAGAGAGAGAGAGAGAGAGAGAGAGAGAGAGAGAGAGAGAGAGAGAGAGAGAGAGAGAGAGAGAGAGAGAGAGAGAGAGAGAGAGAGAGAGAGAGAGAGAGAGAGAGAGAGAGAGAGAGAGAACAATTTTCAACTAAATATTTATATCTTTACTTCCTGATATCAGGACGTTAAGAGGGTGTATATAAGAAACTTCCCATAAAATGTTATTTCTAATACTATGCACAACCCGTGAGAAACAACCAGTGAGAAACAACATTTTGTGGCATCATAGTCTGTGAGGTTGTAAGACTTTAAAAATAATTTATTTTTTTGACCTTTGTATTTTCTACTTTGTAAAAGTTTGAATGCAGAAATGGTATAACATTTTTATAATAAATTTTATTACATCCGTAAATGTTAAAATTTCAATGTACAATAAATCATTTCCAGCGAAATATTTGACAAGAATATGTTTTTATATGTTGCGTGTTCGCAGACCCGCAGACTGCTTGGGTTACCGGAGGCGAGGCTTCAACACCAGCGGGGTGTTCAACATATACCCGGGCAGGTCAGTTATAATGTTCATTAATAATGTTAAATAACAATATTAAATATCATACATGTTATAAGTCACAAGAGGTAAGTTACTCAACACAAGGACCAAACACGAGCACACACAAGCCAGAAGCTTCCATCACATAGTCTCAGTGGTCAGGAGTGCATGGTTCAGACTGATGTGTTATCAACAATGCTTCAAGCCTTGATATAATGTCTGGAGCATGTCATTAAATGACTGTTTACAATGCCAAAGGCTTGCCTTCAGATTATTAATTATCACCGTAACCTGAGATACAAAACTTTACACCGTATTATTTGCATATATTCCCATGCCGTCACCAGCATATCCTCAGATGTCCATGTCACCAGCATATCCTCAGATGTCCATGTCACTAGTATATCCTCAGATGTCCATGTCACTAGCATATCCACAGATGTCCATGTCACTAGCATATCCACAGATGTCCATGTCACCAGCATATCCTCAGATGTCCATGTCACCAGCATATCCTCAGATGTCCATGTCACTAGTATATCCTCAGATGCCCATGTCACTAGCATATCCACAGATGTCCATGTCACTAGCATATCCACAGATGTCCATGTCACCAGCATATCCTCAGATGTCCATGTCACCAGCATATCCTCAGATGTCCATGTCACTAGTATATCCTCAGATGTCCATGTCACTAGCATATCCTCAGATGCCCAGGTATATGGACGGGAGTTCTCACAGAAGACCTGCAATTTCGCCTTGCACATGCAATAGCCCACACTGAGTTCCCCAAAGGACCATCAACAAGATATACCAATGGCCAAGATAATAACACGAATTAACTCTTCCACTATGATATCGTAGTCTTTCATTAGATTGTCCTACTAAAAAGACAGTCGCCAGATGGCTTAGAACGCTAGCCAGTCATTTATCAATTTTTAGTTGATGCAAGTCTGTGAAACAGCTCTATCCTTGAGATGTGAAGCAGCTCTATCCCTGAGATGTGAAGCAGCTCTATCCATGAGATGTGAAGCAGCTCTATCCATGAGATGTGAAGCAGCTCTATCCCTGAGATGTGAAGCAGCTCTATCCATGAGATGTGAAGCAGCTCTATCCATGAGATGTGAAGCAGCTCTATCCCTGAGATGTGAAGCAGCTCTATCCATGAGATGTGAAGCAGCTCTATCCATGAGATGTGAAGCAGCTCTATCCATGAGATGTGAAGCAGCTCTATCCATGAGATGTGAAACAGCTCTATCCCTGAGATGTGAAGCAGCTCTATCCTTGAGATGTGAAGCAGCTCTATCCCTGAGATGTGAAGCAGCTCTATCCATGAGATGTGAAGCAGCTCTATCCATGAGATGTGAAACAGCTCTATCCCTGAGATGTGAAGCAGCTCTATCCTTGAGATGTGAAGCAGCTCTACCCTTGAGATGTGAAGCAGCTCTACCCTTGAGATGTGAAGCAGCTCCATCCTTGAGATGTGAAGCAGCTCTACCCATGAGATGTGAAGCAGCTCTATCCTTGAGATGTGAAGCAGCTCTACCCCTGAGATGTGAAGCAGCTCTATCCTTGAGATGTGAAGCAGCTCTACCCTTGAGATGTGAAGCAGCTCTACCCTTGAGATGTGAAGCAGCTCTACCCTTGAGATGTGAAGCAGCTGTACCTTTGAAATGTGAAGCAGCTGTACCCTAGAGATGTGAAGCAGCTCTATCCTTGAGATGTGAAGCTGCTGTACCTTTGAAATGTGAAGCAGCTCTACCCTTGAGATGTGAAGCAGCTCTACCCTTGAGATGTGAAGCAGCTCTACCCTTGAGATGTGAAGCAGCTCTATCCTTGAGATGTGAAGCAGCTGTACCTTTGAAATGTGAAGCAGCTCTACCCTTGAGATGTGAAGCAGCTCTATCCTTGAGATGTGAAGCAGCTGTACCTTTGAAATGTGAAGCAGCTCTACCCTTGAGATGTGAAGCAGCTCTACCCTTGAGATGTGAAGCAGCTGTACCTTTGAAATGTGAAGCAGCTCTATCCTTGAGATGTGAAGCAGCTGTACCTTTGAAATGTGAAGCAGCTCTATCCTTGAGATGTGAAGCAGCTGTACCTTTGAAATGTGAAGCAGCTCTATCCTTGAGATGTGAAGCAGCTCTACCCTTGAGATGTGAAGCAGCTCTACCCCTGAGATGTTAAGTAGCTCTACCCTTGAGATGTGAAACAGCTCTACCCTTGAGATGTGAAGCAGCTCTACCCCTGAGATGTGAAGCAGCTCTACCCTTGAGATGTGAAGCAGCTCTACCCTTGAGATGTGAAGCAGCTCTATCCTTGAGATGTGAAGCAGCTGTACCTTTGAAATGTGAAGCAGCTCTACCCTTGAGATGTGAAGCAGCTCTATCCTTGAGATGTGAAGCAGCTGTACCTTTGAAATGTGAAGCAGCTCTACCCTTGAGATGTGAAGCAGCTCTACCCTTGAGATGTGAAGCAGCTGTACCTTTGAAATGTGAAGCAGCTCTATCCTTGAGATGTGAAGCAGCTGTACCTTTGAAATGTGAAGCAGCTCTATCCTTGAGATGTGAAGCAGCTGTACCTTTGAAATGTGAAGCAGCTCTATCCTTGAGATGTGAAGCAGCTCTACCCTTGAGATGTGAAGCAGCTCTACCCCTGAGATGTTAAGTAGCTCTACCCTTGAGATGTGAAAAAGCTCTACCCTTGAGATGTGAAGCAGCTCTACCCCTGAGATGTGAAGCAGCTCTACCCTTGAGATGTGAAGCAGCTCTACCCTTGAGATGTGAAGCAGCTCTACCCTTGAGATGTGAAGCAGCTCTACCCTTGAGATGTGAAGTAGCTCTACCCTTGAGATGTGAAGCAGCTCTACCCTTGAGATGTGAAGCAGCTCTACCCTAGAGATGTGAAGCAGTTCCACCCTTGAGATGTGAAGCAGCTCTACCCTTGAGATGTGTAGCAGTTCCACCCTTGAAATGTGAAGCAGCTCCACCCTTGAGATGTGAAGCAGCTCTACACCCTTGAAATAGTGTCAAGAGCTCTCAAGAGAGCCAGGGAGTCGCGTGTGTGTGTGTGTGAGAGAAGTACAGTGAAAAGGGTATGATTGAAAGCGCATATAATAAATTACAAATATATTAAAATACCTTAACAGTATTAGACAAGGTTCCTCTATTTAACGATAGCGTATCACTGCCACAAAATCTAAGCAAACGGAGAACTTGTCTCCGGACACTTGTAGGCCACTGAGTGAGCTAAGTGACTCTGGTGATTGCTGTCTTGGCACTGGCAGACACAAGGAATATCGACTGGTATACTGCAGAGTACTTATAACACACTTGTAATGCGGAACGCGATCAATGCACAGTTCTGTCTAGTAACAGAATTGTAAAAGATATGAGAACACAACAATAATACATATATGTATATATATATATATATATATATATATATATATATATATATATATATATATATATATATATATATATATATAATGTATATATATATATATATATATATATATATATATATATATATATATATATATATAGTATATTTTGGTAGCAGTCTTTCCTGTAGACATATATAATTAAATATGACCGAAAAAGTAAGATTAATAATTCTAACACGAATTTTCTCAATCTTTCGTACATTTCTTTTCACTGTTGGAGGTAAATCAAAAATTACACATCAAGAAGTCAACACCAGCAATCAACAGCCAATTATTGCACAACTATATTCTACCCACCTCAAGACTCCGCTCCAATATAGAAGCATCAAGAAATATGGACCAATAGGCTTTCTACAAACACTTCTATTCAATACCCATTGTTTCGTGTTCTGTCTTGTGTTGATGAAATTAATCCCCTATTAATGCCACCTCTTGTTTTGTCTTGTGTTGATGAAATTAATACCCTATTAATGCCACCTCTTGTTCTGTCTTGTGTTAATGCCACATCACCCCTTCCACCTCACTCAAATGTAGATATAAAATCGGAGATGCGTAAGTTCTATTCAGTTGTGTATTTGTGAACTAAAGTCTTTGAAAATGTAATAAGTTTTACGAAACGCGCTCGTGTCGCGTCAGACTAGAAATAAAAATGAATTTTGGAGAATTGATTTTTGATTTACCTCCAACAGTGAAAAGAAATGTACGAAAGATTGAGAAAATTCGTGTTAGAATTATTAATCTTACTTTTTCGGTCATATTTAATAATATATATATATATATATATATATATATATATATATATATATATATATATATATATATAATTTATAGTTTTATTCAATGAAACATGTCTATATGAAAACCTGCTGTCAGTATACGCCAATATATATATATATATATATATATATATATATATATATATATATATATATATATATATATATATATATATATATATATATATATATATTACAATATTTGCTAAAGATGGCACAGTAAGAAATGGCATTTATTGGTCACTAAGACATAATTATTGTTATATAGCTGGTGTACTGATCATGTACTTACTGTGTATAAAATGCTCTGGTTTGAGCTGAGACAGTAAATTAAATACTTAGTACAAATCGAGTCACTAAGTATCTGATGTGAAATAATTACTTAACACTCAACTAATATATTGACATTTAACACAGTTGTCACAAATGACCCTAAATGTGTGATCCTATAATAAGGCACAACGGAGATGACTGGCGTTACCACACAGGCTGACAACCTGTCAGAGTAAAACGTTACCTTGGCTAGCAGACTCCCATTCGTTTCAAACAAATATGAAGTCTCTCTAACCAGGCGGTCGATTCCTAAGAATCGACAATCGACCTGGTTAGCGAGGTAACAAGAAGAAGTGACAATTTCACACATAATTAGCCGGTTCTTCCACTCACTCTATCCATTCACACCTAGTGGAACAATGGGACAACGATGATTAGCTCCAGGCGATGAGTTCACCACACAGAAGACGCACCAGGCGATTTTTGCTGGCTACTGGTGATGTGTTGCAATACAGCCTACA